CGGGTCCGGGCTGGGGATTCGAACCCGCCACCTTAGGTGTACGTGGCTGGCGCCTTAGCCGGTTGAGCTATAGGCGCCGAGCCATAATACTCATCTTTAATCCTAACTTTGTTTGCTGTTAAAGTAGCCACATTAGGATTCTTATGCTTGGTGTTTTCATGGTAAATATCTTCTTTTCTTTTCTTTTTTTTTCAGTTTTGGCCAGGCTGGGCTTGAACCTGCCACCCCCAGTATATGGGGCCAGCACCCTACTCCTTGAGCCGTAGGCACAGCCCATATATATCTTTTTCAATCCTTTTTCTTTCAACCTGTCTGTGTTCTTATATATAAAGTGTGTCATGACTTGTAAGCAACATATAACTTGGTCCTGTTTTCTTACATAGTATGTTTAGTTAATTTACATTTAATGATATATACAATTATTGATATGATTCCATATAAGTCTACCATCCTGCTATTTATATTCTCTTTACTATACCTGTTGTTTTTTTCCTTTCTCTTCTTGCTTTCTTTTAGACTGAGTATTTTTTATGATTCCATTTTATCTCCACTAACTTTTCAGCTGTGGTCTTTTTTTTTCTTTTTTTTTTTAGTAGAGATCGGGGTCTCACTCTTGCTTAGGCTGGTCTCAAACTCCTGTGCTCAAGCAGTCTACCTGCCTCAGCCTCCCACAGTGCTAAGATTACAGGCAAGAGCCACCACAGGCTTCATTGTTGTTTTAATTTACAATTCCCTAAGGATATATGATATTGAACATTTTTTCTTTTGCTTATTTTTTGCCCCATCCATATGTCTTTTTTTTGCAGTTTTGGCCGGGACCAGGCTTGAACCCACCACTCTCGGTATATGGGGCCAGCGCCCTACTCCTTGAGCCACGGGCACTGCCCCCCCATCCATATTTCTTTGATGAGGTGTCTGTTCAGGGGTTTTCATTAAGTTGTTTATTTTCTTATTGTTGAGTTTTAAGAGTTATCTATACATTTTGGATAACAGTCCTTTATGACATGTGCCTTTTGCAAGTATTTTCTCCCAGTCTGTGACTTATCTTCTTATTCTTTTGGCATTGTCTTGTGCAGAGCAGAAGTTGCATTTATTATGCCTTTGGTATTGTGTCATTAAAAGTCATTGCCATGGCTCAGCACCTGTGGCTCAAGCGACTAAGGCGCCAGCCATATATACCTGAGCTGGCGGGTTTGAATCCAGCCTGGGCCCGCCAAACAACAATGATGGCTGCAACCAAAAAATAGCTGGGTGTTGTGGTGGGTGCCTGTGGTCCCAGCTTCTTGTGAGGCGGAGGCAGGAGACTCACTTAAGCCCAGGAGTTGGAGGTTGCTATGAGCTGTGATGCCATGGCACTCTACCCAGGGCAACAACTTGAGGCTCTGTCTCAAAAAAAAAAAAAAAAAGTCATTGCCATACCAAAAATCACTTAGATTTTCTTCTATATTATTTTCCAGGAGTTTTATAGTTTTGCATTTACAGTTAGGTCTGTGATCCATTTGGAGTTAATTTTTGTGAAAGTGTAAGTAAGGTTTGTTTCTAGAGTCATAGGAAAAGGCTATCTTTGCAGGCAGCTCAGTGAGTTGGACACCAGCCCCATATACCAAGGGTGGCAGGTTCAAACCCAGCCCTGGCCAAACTGTAACCAAAAAATAGCCGGCCGTTGTGGCGGGTGCCTGTAGTCCCAACTACTCGGGAGGCTGAGGCAAAAGAATCACGTAAGCCCAGTAGTCAGAGGTTGCTGTGAGCTGTGACGCCACAGCTCTCTACCAAGGGCAATAAAGTAAGACTCTGGGAGTATACCTCAGCCAGGAAGGACGCATTGAGGTTGGCAACCCATCAAGGACAGTAACTACTGTGGCTTCCAGTGCTTTGGCCAAACCTCAGATGCGTGGCCTCTTGGCCAGGCACCTGCAGATTCATATTGTTGGAGCATTTGTTGTATCTCTGGGGGTTGCAGTTTTCTATAAGTTTGGTGTGGCTAAACCAAGAAAGAAGGCATATGCAGATTTCTACAGAAATTATGATTCTATGAAAGATTTGAGGAGATGAGGAAGGCTGGTGTCTTTCAGAGCATAAAATAATTTTGAAATATAAAGAATTTCTTTCAGCTGATTTACATAGACATTTGTCACTGACCTGTGTTCCTGAGCTCTGAATATGAGTGATAAATAAACTATTAATACATTCTAAATAAATAAATAAATAAGGTAAGACTCTGTCTCTACAAAAAAAAAAAGGCTATTTGCTCTGTTGCATTGCCTTTGTTCCTTGTCAAAGATTTATTTCTTTTTTTTTTTTTTTTTTTTGAGACAGAGCCTCAAGCTGTCCCCCTGGG